AACCCCTATTACCTACAGTTTTACGACTTGCACTTATTCATTTCAGGGTCATGTGTACTAAGCTGTATGTAGGCAATCCGGATTCGTGGTCGTGGCTTAGGGACTACCTAAACACCCCAAAATAGGTAAAGTAATGGCCCGTAATCCCTAAATATAAACCAAAAGGCCATTATTCTACATACTTTGGGGGTCCAGGTAGGGGTGCAGGCCTAGTTTGCAGGAAAAACTGCTCAGGCCGCATGGATGACTTTCCCAATCTAGGAGAGGGCTTAGGGTTTAGGGTTCAGGGTTTAGGGTTCAGGGTTTAGGGTTTTAGGGTTTAGGCCGTTGCGAAATTGAGGAGTGGAGAAGAGGTTTTCAGGTGGATTTTGGGAGGTCCTTGTTAAGGAGTACGTGTTTCGATGTTTGAGAGATTCCCGCTTGAGTGGCGGGAAGGTTCAAACAGATAGGATAAGCTTGGGGAGATGTGGCGTTCTACAACTTCAGACCAATTGAGGGGTCCAAGGACCACATGCATCGACCCTAAACCCTAAACCCCAATCCTTAATCCCTAAATCCTAAACCTTAAATCTTGATCTCTAAACCCTAGACCCTAAACCCATTCCTAAACCCTAAACCATGCACCTCAGCCTAAATGGGTTTTCGGACCCCAAAACTATGATCCTTGGGAACTTGCACGTTGCACAGCAGGTTTGGACGAAGGTTGAGGGCTCAGGGATCTTTCAGTATGATATGGGGTTATATAGGGATGATGGAGAAGAAAATGGAAACTACCATTTAGGGTTCAGGGTGTAGGATACAAGCCCTATACCCTAATCCCTCAACCCATTAGGGTTTAAGTGTCTGGAGTTTCATTCCTGATCATGGCCATAAGCTCTGCCAAGGTGTACGTAGTTCAGCGCTTGAAGACCTTGAGCCCTGTACTCCCCCCTAAGTAGATAGAATATGGGGTATATGGGGGTCTTGTTATAATATACCCATAGCCATATTCTTCTACTCAAGGGAGACTATGTACTCCAGAGAACCCAGTGCCACAAGGTTTGGAAATCTTTTGGCATCTTGGCTGCGCTTGGCTGTTCAGCGGGTAGAGCCTATGTATACATTTTCCTCCGTTGCTCCAAATCTTGCTTGGGGATCAGGAGCGGCATGCTCTATCTTCGTCATAGTGACATTGCCACAAGCGTGGTTGTCACAAATAGTGTTCCTGTTTGAAGTCACTGTACTGATCGCTTTGCTGTGATGCGGAGTTGTCCTGATTGCGATTGTAGCCTTTTCCTAGAGGTCCAAGTACCCAATATTCGGTACTTCCCTGAAACCTGTAGTGTACCAATTACTCATAGCAGCCAAAGCTAAGCTACCATTCAAGTATTTGCGCACATGGGACCTAAAAACTCAACCCTTCATATCCCTACTGATCCCTAAAAGCCTTTCAAGGAAACACTTGTTTTGCATACACAGGTAGTGTCACCTTTCATCTCTACGCTTGCCATCAAAGAGTGCTGTCATACGCTTAGAAGCTTACATGGCTCTATTTTGGAGCGCCAGGGCTGTACCCTCCAGTTTGGGGAGGGTTGCTGTTTCAATGTAGCCCGGCGTTGTGTGTAGATGTGTTTTCATCATCTCCTCTAGGAATGTGTCAAGATCTGCGTAGGGATGGCACACTTCCGCAAGCACTTCTCTGGACATCGTGAAAACTAACCCAGAGGGTCCATGCCCCTACTCATTCCATGTACCTCATCATGAGGTGCTTGGGATTTGGGAAATAGTAAGTATAGTACAGGCTTTGGGTATGATTATTGGGTACTTGGACCCTTAGGGTCATACCTAAACCCTAAACCCTAAACCCTAAACCCTAAACCCCAAACCCTAAACCCATACCTGTTTCTGAACCTTTGCGTACCAGCTGCTATGTGGAACTTACGAGCCCCGCAAGGCTTGTGAAGGAGAGGGCTGAGGAATGGCCTTGTAGGGCACAATACCGCTTTAGGGTTTAGGGTTTAGGGTTTAGGGTATCTACTAGACCCCTAAAGCCCAGTCCCACACCATGGCCTCAACCTGAAACCCTAACCCCAAACCCCAAATCTTAAGTCCCCAGCTACGCAGCTAGGTCCTCAGCTTGACATCCTAATCTTAAACCCTAAGCCGTAAATGAGGGCTTCTCAAAATTAGGGATACCTTTTTGAGGGCCCAAATCCTACCTGTAACCACAACTACCTCCAGCGTAGAGTAGTCCTTACTCTCTAGTAGTCATGAGCTTTTAGTGTGTAGATGGACCCTGAAGCCGGAAAAGCCATATACTGCCCTGAACCCTTTAGGCTAGGTTTCATGTCACGTTCCATGCCCTTTTCCATGTCATGCTCCATGTAACCGTAAACCGCAAACCCCCAGACACGAAAAAAAACTAAAGCCCGCCTACACTTCTATACCATACGCCCTTTTAGGGTGCCTAGTTTGGCATGCAGAAGATGGTGGCATAAAGTTTGGTACCCAAGACAAGGGTTTGGCGTCGAGGTGTGTTTGAATCCCAAGCTCTGAAGCTAAACCCTAACCCTCCTAACCCCCAAACCGCAAGCCTTCAATCCTAAACCCTAGTCCTAAAACTCTACCTAGCCAACCTTTCGCTGCATAATTGAAGTCATTTAACCGAAAACTGGTTTTACCAGGACATGGCGGAAATTCTGCGGAATTGCAATTTCTCATCGTATAGGCACCATGTCTGCGCGGTGGAGATAGCGTTTCTCGTTCTGGTGAAGGTTTTGAAATGGCGTTTTCCATTTCCCTCATAAAGGTTTTTGTTCTGCAAATAGCGTTTTTGTTTGCCGGGTTGGAAAATTAATTAGACCGTTGGCTGAACTGGCCGCAGAAGCTTTTGGCTTTACTAGTGTTACCGGGTTGGACGTGCTCGCCCTCCCGCAAGGCCTGGCTTGCATTGCAGCCTGGGACCATGTGCGCATGCAGCTGCAAATTCAGCTTGGCTGCCCCAATTTGAAGTGCCATGTTTGGAAGCCTGCGCTGTATAAGACGGACTGTGGCACGTGTGCCCTTGCTTTACCATGGGCCTGGCCTGAAAATTAATGATTTTGATATGGCGATTTGGATTTTCGAAATGGCGTTTTTTTGAAATGGGCGGAAAACCTAAATGGCGGAAATCGGCGGCCAAATGGCGGAAATCGGCGGCGAAATGGCGGAAATATCCGGAATGGCAATTTTGCGAATTTCGAAATGTCAATTTTGCATGCCTGAAACTGCTCGAAATTATCTTGCTCAGGCTCCTACGCAGGCTTTGGGGTATCACAAATCTCCGTTGCTGAGGGTTGTGCCTGGGCTTCGGGTGGACAGCGGCGGCTCTGAGTCTATCACTGATAATGTTTCTACAGCCTGCCATGTCCAATCGCGTGTGAAGTCCGCATCTTGAATGGCTATACATGTCACCCAGCTTCCCAGCAATGCTTCAAGCACACATGTTGTTTGCATGTTGATGTCGCCTAGCAAGCAGGAACAAAACGCCGAATGAGATGCAAGTTTTGCCGCTGGAAATGCCTTTTTTGATCAAAGTCATGCCGTTTTTTATGGGCCAGCAGCTTACTTTAATGACGATTTTGTCCTTGAGTCTTGAAACCCTCAAAATTGACACATGGCACTTTTCAATTGAAATGCCAATAAATTCTTCAATTCGGGGAACTTCCTTTTTTTTCGCGCCCGAGGGTTGGCTAGGTAAACCCTAAACCCTATAATCCCTAAACCCTATAAGCCCTAAACCCTATAATCCCTAAACCCTCAACCGCAATCCCTAAGCCCTAAACCCTAAACCCTAGTTAAGCCCTTAACCCCTTAACCCTGAACCCTAAACCCTAAATAGTAGTTTCCATTTTCTTTTCCATTATCCCTATCTAACCCCCATATGTTAACCCCTCAACCCTATATATCTCTTCAGAGGGACCTAGGGTTTCCATCTTCTTTTCCATTATCCTAAGGATATTTGGGGCCCTTAACCCCTTAACCCTCAACCCTAAACCCTAAATACTAGTTTCCATTTTCTTTTCCATTATCCCTATATAACCCCTATACAACCCCTATGTTTCCCTATATAACCCATATATATCCCTATATATCCCCATGCCCTTAAGCCCTTAACCCTCAACCTGGAGGTCTCGAGGTTGATCCACCAACTCCTCCTGGCAGTTGATCATGTGGCCTCCTGTGGCATTTCCCATCAGGTGAGGGGGGAGGGGGAGGATTTTTAGGGATTAGGGTTTAGGATTTGGGGTTTAAGGTCCAAGCTTTGAGGGTTTAGGGTTAGGGTTTGGGTTTTAGGGTTCAGGGTTGGTCCTGGTTCCTGGGCTTATGCAGGGGTTGTGGCATACTAAGGGGCGTATCAAAACAAAAGGGTATGTACGTGTGTTACATGTATGTATGTATATATATATATATGGTGTACAGGGCCATGACAATGCATGCATATATATAAGTATAAATATATATACATATAGATGTATATATGTATCGCTGGGAACCCCTTCAATTACAAGCTGCAACCGTGCAAAATGTAGCCACAATGCGTACCCATCGGGAAATCTAGCTGACTTTGTTGGTTTGGTTGGCTACGTTTGACGTAGAATCAACGCAAGCACATTCTTAAGTCGACTTGCTACAACTTGATTCATTTTCAGGCTCGCAATTTCGAAGAAAGCGTCGTATCTGATCTGATAGATGGTTGCTTCATGTTCTATATGAAGCTGAGCACCACCAAGGAAAGGATAAAATCAACACTGGATGTACCTTGTTCAACAAGTGTTTATCTGGAATGGAGCATAACTCAGCAATGAGTGGAACCCTACTCATAGTTGAATGTGACTTCTGAGTAGGTTCGTATATAGCATCACGGGCCATGTAGAAGCGGGTAGAGCCCCAATTAAAGTTGATTCTAACTTAGAACTCATACAGAATCAGACACCATCCAGGAATAGCTGGAGTCCTTCCTGGAATGGATTAGCTCCATGCTGACATGCATATAGACTCGCGGCAACCTGAAACCCGGAACCCTGAAACCCAACAATGACCATGGAGGATGTCAAGCCGGAGAATTTGATGCTTTGCGACTTGAGCGCCGCAGCTATGTTTGAGGTTCCGGGCTTTACGGTTCAGGGTTTCTGGTTTCAGGCTTCATTTTGAATAGAATACTCGCTGTACTCCCCCTACATATTTCCAGGTTTCCCAAAGGCACTCTTTTTTTGTCAGAAATGTTCGCATATTTGCTGCTTCAGTTTGATATCCATTGGAAATGAGATTCCTCAAAAGTGGAGGTTCGGTCGGCTCTTAACTGCAAGGTTTCTGCCCGTGCTTGGGACAAATTAGGTCAGGCAGGAAAGGTGGTAGCGGCCAAGAAGTCCAGCAAGAAGAGCGCACACGCACACTCATAAATCCAGATAGAATCTTCTACACCGCTACATCCTCTTCGACTAGAGGCCAAGAGCCCTCAGCCCCAAATCTTGCAATTTACGGCAATTGTAGCCTAGCTGTTGGTTGCGGAGCGACGACGAGGAGGCAACGAGTTGCAGAATAAATGCTCCTGTAGTTGCTGCTTCTGCCTTCGGCACTGCTCTGCTGCTAATGGCGCTGCTCATCCCGCCTCTCCTGCTTATTATATAATCTGTATATGGGGGTTATATTGGGATAACGGAGAATAAAATGGAAACTACTACAGCATATTTTAGTGTATTATACTGCTAGCATTAATTTAGCTGTAGGCGTGTTTGCTAATCAGACTTGCTCATCCACTCCGTGTCTCTGCTCTGAGGTGTTGAAGAGGAGAGGGTCCGCCTGAAACTGGGCCGCTTGGCATGCATCCTGTTGTTTAGGTTAAGATGGACCTGCAGGAGCTTCCTCCCTCTAGTGCATCAAATATACATGATATATATATATATATGTATACACATATATATATATACACATACGTACATATGTACCCCTGCGATAGTACCATGCATGCCCCTTCAAGGGTTCATACAGCTTGACAGCCTGGATTCCAAGGCTTGATAAGGTCTCGTTCGGTCCAAGAGTATAGTGGCAATGAAAGAACGAAGTGTGTAGTATTTAATTTGGGGATACTATGGTACCCATTATGGAGTAAGATTCTATCCTCCCTTTGGGGTATAGCATCTTATATAAGGAATATTATCTTACTAGGTTCAACAACCAAAAAAACACTACTCAAGTGTGTTCTATTTGAAGTTGGGATGCTCCACTCCCTGATGTAAACTTCCGGTTATGCTTTTTTGCTGTATATGGTAGTTTCCCTGAATAAGGGGACCCCAATATAGACTCCAATATACTTTCATCCTTATTATTGGGACCCCCAAAATGGTACACCTAATTTTGGGAAACCCCCATATAGACATGTTCAAGAATACATCCCGCCTGCTTGCGGGCGCCTTGAAGGTGCCTGCTGCAAGTGACGACCCTAAGGGTCCCAGTACCCAACAACTGAGCACTAAGGATTTGAGTGCTAACACTCATAACTTGTAATGCAGGTTTGAAGCAAGTATATGGTTTCTGGAGCTTGGGATTTAGTAGCCCGGGGCGCAGGTGGAGAACCCGGGACCTTTGAAGGTCTCCAATAATTCAATATGCTCTTCGAAAGGTGAAACCACCCTGGGGCCGGAAGTCTAGCAAATACTTACGTCGGGCCCTAGAGCCCAGAAAGATTACCTATATGAACTATAGTCTAAACTCCTTCAAGGGGGGTATATAGAGGATTACATAGGGGACTACTATTGGGGTGTAAGGGGGGATACTAGGAGTTTAGACTATAGCTCATATGGAGCCTTGGGGTTATCATTGGAGCACAACAGAAACGTGGAGACCAGAATAGCTGAACTCATAAATTGCTTGTAATCTGAGTCATGATGGTGGCAGCCGTAAGAGCCGTTGTGAAGTGTCCGGAAGCTAGTTGTGTTACTGACCATGTATACCAGATTATTAGTGTAATCACCAGGAAGCGATTCATTTATGGTGCGTATACAACCACAGTATAGTGCCAGAAATGCCCGGTTCATTTATGGAACATCCATGTGCTTTAGCCTTACAGCCTAGCCCACAAATCCTGGGCCTCTCGGCCCCAGAGCACGACCCTGCAACCTTGAAACCCTAAGCCATAAACCCTAAAGCCCTAAACCTTAAAGCCGTGAACCCTAAACCCTAAAGCACAAAAACTTAAACCCTAAACCCCTTAACTCTGATCCTTCCTTCTCAGGTGACTTTGGTTGGGCGGTCCTCTCAGCAGATCAGGGCCCACCGGCCCCAGCCGGGGCTGGTTCGCTTTGGCCACTTGCCCCGCATGCAACATTAGATAGGGTTCTATAGGGATTATATAGGGTTCTATAGGGATTATTTAGGGAAGTAGGGATTATGTGGATATAGGGGCATACTTACTGGTGGTTCGTAAGGAATGGAGGAATGGACCCGCGTAGTGGTGTCTGTAGAACCCTCGCTAAGAAATCTTACATCCCATGATTTCATTCCCCACTAACCACCAGTAGGTTCACGGGTTCAAGGTTGAGGGTGGGATGAGGAGTTTGAGGGTATACTGGCCCAGGGCTCCACGGTTTGGGCGTAATGAGTTGTAAGGGTGAAAGGTTCTGTTGGAGTCACCTTCAAAATATCAAAAGACCCTCAGCCCGCTGCAACTTACAAAAGAATGCCTTCAAAAGCACCTGGCAAGCAAACACCTTAGTGGAGCGGAGACGCTACTACTTCTAGCGCTACTACCACTCCTTGTCTTGCTGCTGCGGCTACATGTCCTTCTTCTACTCCTACTCTTTGTTCCTGTTGCCGCTGCTGCTGCTGCTACTGCTCCTGCTGCTGCTCCATGTACCACTACCCCTACTCCTACCCCTATCCTTACCCTCAGGCCCCACGCCTACTCTTATCCTAGTCCTGCGACGAGGACTACCACTACTACCACTATTGTCAGTACTGCTGTATATATTATGTTATAGCATAGTACTTCTTTTCATCCCCCATCTCGCACCCAGAGAGTGATACATAGAATGACCTATCACTGCACCGGACATTTCCTAGATTGGTTCGAGCCACCGCAGTTTTAGGGTTTTGGGGTTTTGGGTTTAGGGTTTAGGGTACCCTATTTTAATGTAGTAGTTTCCATGTTCTTTTCTATCACTCCTGTATAAGCCCTATTATAATGTAGTAGTTTCCATGTTCTTTTCTATTACCCCTGTATAAGGCCTATTATAATACAGTAGTTTCCATGTTCTTTTCCATTATCCTGTGTATAAACCCCATTATAATGCAGTAGTTTCCATGTTCTTTTCCAGTAGTTTCCATTTTCTTTTCCATTACCCCTGTATCAGGCCTATTCTAATGCAGTAGTTTCCATGTTCTTTGCCATTACCCCTGTAAAAGGCCTATTATAGTGTAGCAGTTTCCATGTTCTTTTCCAGTAGTTTCCATTTTCTTTTCCATTACCCCTGTATAAGGCTTATTCTAATGCAGTAGTTTCCATGTTCTTTGCCATTACCCCTGTAAAAGGCCTATTATAATGTAGTAGTTTCCATGTTCTTTTCCATTATGCCTGTATAAACCCTATTATAATACAGTAGTTTCCATTTTCTCTTCCATTATGCCTGTATAAACCCTATTTTAATGCAGCAGTTTCCATTTTCTTTTCCATTATCCCTACATAACTCCAACATATCTGAAGGTACGCTCCTCCCGAGTTGAACCCTCCCGTGGATGGCACCTCGATCTTCCCAGGACCTGGCCATGTGGTTTAGGGTTTATAGTCACCCCCCATTTCCCCCCCCCGAAATTAGGACCCATATCCATCACATCATAAGATGGCAAAAGTTTGTTCGATGGTTGAAGGGTCTTGTGGTTTGTCACTTCGTGGCTTGGGTTATTGGGTCAAAGGTTCCCGTGGGCGTTTGAAGTAGATGTAGAAATTTGAGGACACAAAAGTGCAATTCTTGCTAACCTTCTGATACATTTGCAACATCGCTTACCCAGAAATGCTACACAATTGTGGATAGACTTCCTTCGAAACCCCTATTTACATACTCACAACAAAACTACTCCAAACGGAGCCCGTGCCAGATGATCCCCATTCTGCATGCCAATGCACTGTTGGTCTCCAGATGATATTTGTCATAGGGTCGTAGGGTCATGCCAAGCAGTCGAATGTCTCCTCGTGCAAAGGGTCAGATGCTGTGGCTATGGGCACGGTGTGCATCTCCAGGATGCGTCTGCATAGCTTTCCAAAGCCAAGCACGGGAGTGGAATGTTGTAGGCTGCTATTCTGCTCCTACCTCCACTACTTGAGCTATAGTCTAAACTCCGTAAAGGGGGGGTTGTATAGGGAGTCATATGGGGGACTACTATAGGGTTTTCTAAGGGGGGTATTCGGAGTTTAGACAATGGCTCGCTTGACCTCAAACCTGACACCAAAAGCTCTGAACAAAAGAACAAAACCCCTCAAAGCCAGACAGTCCCTCCCCCTTGGCCGCCAAGGAGGGGTATTTGCCCCAGTTACTCAAGCTGAAAGCGGTTGCAATGCGATTATGGGTCTTCCATGAATAGTGGGCCTTCTTAAAGCAAAGACTGTGATTTGCTACAACCCTTTTACTGAGTTGGCCTTTGGGGTATTTACGTATGTATCCTACTAGTTTCATGAGGCCCTTCTATACCTAATCGCTCAACGGGCTCTAAATGCAAACCAAGCATAGGGATTTAGGGTTTAGGGATTAGGGCTAGGGTTTAGGGCAAAGTTTACAGGAGGGGGAGCAAGCCTTGACCCTCACATCAGACACCTGATTTTGAGACTACAGCTCATATGAGCTATACCCTCACATCAGACACCTGATTTTTGAGACTACAGCTCATATGAGCTATAGTCTAAAGTCCTTAAAGGGGGTTTATATAGGGGATTATATAGGGGACCACTATAGGGGGGGGATACTAGGAGTTTAGAGTATGGCTCATATGAGCTACTGTCAAGATTGGGCCGCATAAAGGGACCCTTAACAGGTTGACATAGGGGCTTCTCTTGCAGTTGAGTCTAGTCCCGAATATAGCCCCTAATGTGGAGCCCATATCTGTTACTTATCTGGGTGATATTGGCTGTAGTTCATAGAAGAAGCACTTTACACCCTATATAACTTATATAACCTCATATGATCCCTATAAGCCGCTATATGTCCTTCTAGCTTCCCCATAAGACCCTAACACCCTAAACCCGTTGCCGTTAAGTTCTGCAGGAGCACCTAAACTGTAAACCCTAAACTCTATACATATATATATATACATATATATATACATATATATATATATACACATACTTTTATGTACACATATATATATATATGTATACATATACCCCTATTAAATTATCCGGGCATTATTGGCTGCAGCTCTTAAAGGAGCTGTGGTCGGCAAAAGCGACATGTGGAGCTCAGGAGCCCCTTGGCATGTGCCCTAAACATTATTTGAGATTTAGGGACACTATTTGAGATTCAGGGTTTAGGGTTTAGGGTTTAGGGTTCAGGGTTTAGGGTTTAGGGTTTAGGGTTCAGGGTTTAGGGTTCAGGGTTTAGGGTTCAGCGTTTAGTGTGGGGCTTAGGGTTTAGGGGACCTCAAATTAGATGCCTTAGAACCATGTTCGGAACTATATGCGGGTTATATGGGGCTAGCATGAATCTAAGTGGGGGATCCATTCTTTAGATCCCACTAGGGGTTTGGGTAGCCCCTAAACCCTACCGTAACGCAATTAGCTAGAGTTCAACAGTAACTACACCCTAATTTGAAGGTCCAGGTATAACCCATAAACCCTAAGGGTCCAAGTACCTAATAATCATATACTTACTCAAAACCTGCACTATAATTCCTATTACCCAAAACC